TTTACTGAACATGAAGTTTCAGTGTGCTGTGACATGAGATTTTGTTTGGAGGAGTTCAACAATCTTTCAGGATATTTTAAGGTTAAGTTCAGTGCGACAAATTTCACCCAATGGGGAAACACAGAAAGCTGTTAAATTGGACTTGACTGTTCATCTAAATTAAACTTATGCAACACACCAATTTATCATTCCAAATGATCTCGCATTACTCTGAATTCCAGCTATTAAAAGCTGTCACTGAGATTAGCTTGCTGAAGGAATCATTTAGTCGCTCTAGGAAGTCATTTATATTACAAGAAATCACAATAGCATAACAAATAGTTATGAAGTTGAGAAAAGTTCCCAAAGTTAAGAGAAAAAAATATATATATTTACAATATCTGTTATCTAAAGCATAATTCTGAAATCCATCTGTTTTACATCAACCCAAACCTGTAGAAAATTCAGGGACAAACTGTAGTTAATATTCTAGGCTAAAAGCTGTGAAATGTCCTCTAGAATAGCTTCCTGGCCAAGAACACACCCTTTAACGTACTGAACTTTCCTGCTCAAATACACACAGGCATGTCCTAAAGAATGTGTGAGACAGGCCTTAAAAGACTTCGCCATGGCAGGTCACGAGCCCTGACCCTTCAGCTCCACTGTACACACTGTCTGTCTCAGCAATGAGCGTGACATTCATGGACAAGGTCAGAGCTTTACCGCCAGATGGTCTGTCAAGTTCATTTGGATGAGTATTTTTTTTTAGTAAATAGGCATGTAATCTCAAATGTGTTTTCAAGTATGAATGAAGAGTAGTAGAATGTATTGTGTGTAGTACGTTTTACACTAAAGGAGCTCCTAACTTTGTAAACAACTAAAGTTGTGCCATGCAACACCTTAATAACTATATGCATGTGTTTGCGTTTTGTAATTACCTCTCGGCAGCCTGATTCCACAGGAGGCACAGAGATTGGAGAGGTTTTCCACGTCGGTCAGGAGTGTGTATGCGGTAAACAACCTTTTGACCCTCAGCAAGCGATTTAGAGGCTCTGCCATGAAGACTGACTGAGAAAACCTGCACAAACACACACATTTATGGATTATTCAGAGTGAATTCAGCTATTAAAAACACTAAAAGTTGTAGTCAGTTCCCAATTCCAAGTGCAAATAAAATATTATAATCACTTTAAATGCCCTATCCAGAGGAAGCCACATACATGATTTGTGATCCCATACATGATCCCAAACATGAGACAACTTAAAATGTCCAACTCAACAGTGTCATCTGCTGGACACTGGCTTGAGCTTAGTGGGCAAAAGCTACATTCACATTTGTGAAACTGTCTACTACAACAAATACAACAATTTGTGTTGAGCACTGATGTATTGAGGGATACAGTGAAACGCTCTTTCACCTTGTCATTTAATGCACTGGCTTTTGTGTTGGTGAGGAACCAGTGCTCAGTACTATATTCGGTGAAGTGCGCTTTACGGCAAGCGGACAGGGCCATGCGGTCTGCAGGAAGGGCTGGTACCTCCAGCAGGGTCTCAGGCAGGGTGAACGTGTCTGCGTTTTTGCCTGTAAATGTGTGGCCGTTGATTTGAGTGGGGTACCAGTGGTGAGCTGCTATGGTGAAATACGGGCAGGTGTCCAGTATGGTTGTGCCTCTGGATTAAAGACAAAAAAATCAATGCATATAAGAATGAGCTCAGATAAAAACAAAACAGAAAAAAACATGAAATTATGACAATAAATAGATCTCACCTCTTTCCTTCTGCCCCACAGTCAATGTCTGTGAGCAGGCTGAAGGCAAAACGCTCCGCCACCTCAGCCAGCTGGCTCATACCTCGAGTGTCCGCTCAGCTGGGGTTCGACATAGAGCACAAGAGGTCATAGGTCAAGCCACGGCTGCTGTCTTTTAGTGGAGACTGCTCAGCATCTTTCAGAATCTGTGAAGTGAGTTTAGGCTCATTTTAAAAAGTTTGAAAACTCCTTTACAATACTACTACATCAATTTTAGAATCACATTTAGAAAATGTGTGTGGCACTGCCATAATGCTTTGGTGTTGTGAGTGCTTGCCATTGTGTTTCTAGGGTGGTCATTAAGGTGCAATCACATTTACCATTGCTTTGTGAAATTTTGCGGACACAATCCATTCATTTAAATAGAATCCGTGTCATTGGGAGTTTCGTACGAGGGCAAAAAGAATCCCCATGCAGATTTCGTTCATGTTCAAGTTAGTCGAGTGAATTTGCCACAATGAACAGGAAGCTGCTTGGTTTGAAAGGGAATTCTGTGTGAGCAGTGCTTCATTCTTTGCTACACTACTGACAATGGAAATTTGCCAATTTTTGCCAGCAAACGTTTTGACAACATTTTCTAATGTGACAGCACCTTTGGGGATGTTCTTGTCAAAATTTGTTGCCAACAAAAAATGCAAGTATTGGCAGTAGTAGTCAACCACTACTAAGCAACTCTGTGACATTCTACTTTCAGTTATTTAATGTGAAAAGAGAACTTAAAACAAACCAATGTTTAAATCTCAGAAACCCTGATTTGCTTATATTGTAGTACTAATAGCGTGAAGCAGTCTGGGCGTTACTGTTCCCAGTAATAAAATGGTACAGATTAACTGAAAAGACAAAGCTTTGTTGCCAAGACTAGAGATTTTTTCACACAGTGGAGCCGTGTGGCTGCACATACAAGCATTGTACTCCCTAGATAAAAGATTTCTAGGAACTTAAGGAACAAAAAAGCATTGTAAGGAAAGCTGTTTTAATTGATTTCTGGGGGCCATTATGTGGCCCCTCATTGTTTTTAGACAGAATGCAGAACAGCTGGATTTCCTGAACAACTGTATTCAAAAAATGCTCAAGATCCGGCAAACTTTAAATAAATTCTCACCTCTCTAAAACCTGATAAACATGTTTATCATTCACTAAATAAACATACACTAATGCTCACCAAGGGTGCATTTATTTGATCAAAAATACAGTAAAAATGACAATTTAAAACAGCAATTACTCCAGCCTTCAGTGTCACATGATCCTTCAGAAATCATTCTAATATGCTGATTTAGTGCTCCAGAAGCATTTCACATTATTAGCAATGTTGAAAACATTGTTATGCCCCTTTCTTTTGTGGAAACTGCTACATTTTTTCAGGATTCTTTGATGAATAGAAAGTTCAAAAGAACAGCATTTATTTAAAACCGAAATCTTTTACAACATTATAAATGTTTTTACTGTCACTATAATCAATTTTATGCAACCTAGTGGAATAAAAGTATTAATTTATTCAAAAATAAGAAAGAAAGAAATCGATAAAATAAAACAAATTTACTGACCCCAAAATTGTTAACTGTAGTCTGCATATCAAAGTTTGGAACTAAAGGAGTGTCAGTGTAATGAAAAGTGATTTTATACCTCTTTGGTCCACACCTTTGACATGCTTACTTTGCTACCTAAATAGGAATTTCTTATTTATTACTATTGTTTTTTTCCCCCATTGGTTTAGGGTTTTAATCGTTTTTATTACTCAGGATTGCTCAATCCTAAAATGGAATGAAGACATTATTTAGTCAACTTTCCTTCTGAGAACATTTGTGTTTAGGACACATTTTTTGGAATGTTTGCTCATTTGCTTACCTTGCTTAGTGCATCTAACACTGCAGTTAGCTGCTCTGGAGTGATGTCCTTACTAACTTTGTTGATAAGCCCTTGCAGGACCCGATTGATGATGGTCTCATCCAGAGGCTGATGTAACTGGTCCAGCAGGGCCCACACTGCCTGAGCCTCTGAGTCCGAAACCAGGGTGATGTTAGTCAGCCCGAATTCTGGGTGAACCCGTGCACCACCAGTGGCATCAGAGAGAGCCACGCGGAACCGTTTGGGTGTTGGGTTGGAAGAACTGATGTTCGGTGTGAGGGCCACGTCCAGACCAGCACTTCTCTGTCCAGTCTCAAAAGTCAGGGTGCCCTCTGCCATGACAAAGTCCTGCCCTGCCACGGCAGGCCAGACCAGAGAGGGTCCAATAGACTCCGCTTTCTGAAGCTCCTGTGAGAGCAGACGACACAAAACACAGTTAATACTCTGATATTTACACCTAAAATCGGTTTTCTTAGAACTTTTAAAGTAACTGAGCACATAGCAAGAGGTTGATGGAGGTGGACAGTTAAAACTTTGAAATTCACTTTGCACACTTTCCTTTGAAGTGTGTAACTAACATACCGGGAATGAAAAGTATTTCCTTATGCCTTAAAGTAAAACAGTAGGCAAGGAAAACTGAAAAATTAAGGAAAGGAAAGGGTGTGCCAGAGGGACAAAAAGAGCAAAAAATAAAAAAAAAGAATTCCCACAGACTTTTCCAGTTCCACTATGCAACCATATCTATTGCCTTTGAAGTATCTGCTGGGAACTCAGTGGCCTAATTGCTCATAGCTCTTATCTTCTCTACATTCATCATCTTAGCTCATGAATTTGACATCATCTCAGTCCTCTAATCACTAATGTGGTCACATTATGTAATGGGGTCAGAGAGGGGTGTAGGCTGGGTAGTGGTAGATGGACATGTTGCTGCTCTTTGATTATTAATATTTTCATATGTTCTGAGTTTGCTGAGTTTGTACTGTGTATGCATTCTCTATGCCTCCTTGCTTCTAAATGTTGTATAATATTGAATATTACTGAATATTTCTTGTTATCTTGGGACATGCTTCCTTTTTCAAATGACTTTCACCTGCATACAGTACTTCACAGAGATAGCTGATGCTGTACTGGTATCCCTGTAGACCTGAAGACTGATGCTTGTGGCTTTGAGGGTTACTATGGGTAGTCTGGAGCCCTGGGCGAAGTACACCAGCCCCTGTGGGTCATCACTCTCCAGCATGGTGACATTGGCAAAACGGGCAGTCTGGTTTATGGTGGCACCCTCGCCCACTTTATAGACTTCCACCAGGAACCAAACCTCATACTCTGGGTCCTGCAGTACACAGATGACAAAAAAAAAACAATGAGTAAGATGATCAGAGAAGCTGTAAAGGTGGATTCCCAATAAGCAGTACATAAAAACAAGCATAATAAAAAAAAGCAAAGAAAAGAAAAGCAAAAAATGGGCCATGAAAAATGCCATGAGACACTTCTAAAATATGATTTAAAAAGTAAAATATGATTTTATACCTTGTCTGGCCGGACCTCCAACCTGAGGGCACAGAGTACTTCTCCTTTCCTGCAGACGGATGTGCCCGAGGTCTGCTGCAGCTCTCTGGTCAGATTCACCCCATGACTGAGCACTGAGTAAACTGTAATGCTGAACGTGACCCGCCAAAACACCAGCACATCTTCAAACGCTCTAGAAACATGGGGAAAAACGTTTTTTTGGCATGCGGATCTAAAACTGATTAACACCGATTTGCAGTAGTGAATGCACAACATCATCTTAAACATGTATCATACCTGTTTTCCTGTCTTTGCAGAAAGAGTGTCGCTGTCCTGTTCTCTGAGTCCTCATCCAGGATCTGACCGACCTGAGAGCTCAAACTGAAGCCGACTATACCATTCTGAAGATCACTCCCTGTCGCAGAGAAACATTAGTAGCTGGGCTCAAATATACACTATCAGTCAAAATTTCACTCAAGAAATTAACACTTTTTTCAGCAAGGATGCATAAAATTAATCAAAAGCAATGTCATGTCTGAAAATGTAAACTGATATTTCCTACTGACACGCTAGAAATAACTGGCCTAAAACCATTTTTTGTGGAAAAACTACAGAAAAATCCTTATTGTTGAGGCCTGTAATGCCAGTAAGATTCTCACCCAGAATAACGATTTTGGCAAAGGAAGTGAACCCCAGTTCATCTGGCACGCTGACAATCTGTGCTCCACCTTCTGCTTCGCTGAGGTAGATAAAAAAAGCCTCCTGCCCCTCTGGCTCCTGATCATTCAGTATGAGGACACTGACCTCCACCTCGTTCTGTCCTTCCAACAATGTGACAGTTTGGGTCTCTAAGGCGAAGTCCTCCCCTTCCAAGGCCCATGTGCCATTATGCTCCTGATGAAACTGGGCTTCATCCACCACTGGGGTTTTGAGTCCTGCATAGGCTCCGATTTTGGCACTCACCACTCCTGTGAGCCCTGCCGACCTGCGTACTCTTAAGGCAAGCTTCTGTTGGGGCGCCCCCTCCTGACTGTCTTCAGAAGTGTGTATTATTGCTGGCCCTATACTCAAAAATCCGCTAACCACATCGTTAGCATGGATGGTAACTGTAGCGACACTATTTTGAGACACAATGCGAGGCTGAGCGTCGACTGAGGGCAAGCTGGCACTGAGAATACTCACACTGGTTAAGTTCACATAAAAATCCTCATCTGGTTCAGTTAGGGAATCATCGAGAATAGACAGGCGAATGGCAGCAGATGTTTGGCGGGAATCAAACAGAAGCTGCCCGTCTGCTACCGATGCAAAGTCCTTGTCAGGTTGGGCAGTGCCAGGCCACGTCTTGTAGGAGATGCTGGAACTGTTGCTGCGGAAGTCATAGAGGCGCTGGACGTAGAGGGTGATGGTCTGCACGTCCTCCTCAATGACCAGTTGCCGAGAATCAGGACGAAACTGATATAATCCTAATGGCTCCACCTCAGCTACTGTGTAACCAGTCCTGAAGATACAGTATAACACATACATCAAACCATATAGTTATCACAGATATTCATGAGAAAGGGGATTTTGTTTTTGAAAAGGACAGTGTTACCTGAGACGGGCTCCACCGGGTGACTCTGACTCTACAGAGGTCAGGTAAACAGCGTGTGCTGTGACAACTGACATGTTATTAACAGCATTGAGAGAGATCACCTCACTCCTCTGACCGTGGACAAGCATTACCGTACCTTCAGATAAAGAGAAAAAGAAAAATAGCAGATTCAGACTAATATTGTGTCAGTTTATCATTTATGGATTTTTCTCATACGTATCAAGTCATTTCTCTCTAACCTGATCTTGGCGAGATGTCTCCTGGCTGGTAGCCTGGTGGAGTTTGGCGAGGAGGAAACCCCGAGCTCCATCGGACAGTTACGTTTCCATATAAGCCTGTCCGTGTCACCAGCGCCTCAAACTGGCCACTCTCTATATCTGAGACACGCAGGGCCACAGAGGCAAATCCAACCTACAGTACAAAGAGAATTAATTTAATTATTTAATAATTATTAATTATTAATAATTATTTAATTTGATTATAGTATATAGTACATTATAGTTAAAACTGTAATATAAGCATAACATAAGTTTTATATTGTCTTTTGATTTTTGGAGTGCAATGCGACCATTTTTCGCAAGATTCCATAATACTAATTCGACACTTTAGCCATGTTTTAATAAAATGCATAAATAAATGAATAAGTACTAACTAAAAGACTGTAGCATAAGCAAAACATAAATACTCATTCAACTCTACAAGCATTTTTTTATTAAATATATAAATTATTATATAAAAATTATATATAAAGTATTATTTTTTAATAATTAAATATATAAATACTGATGCAACTACATTCAACTCTTCAAGCATTTTTAATTAAATATATAAATTATATATACATTAATATATAAAGTATTATTTTTTTATTATTAAATATATAAATACTGATGCAACTACAACTTGTGTAAAATTTTTATTGGCAATATTGGCAAACCAGTGCTAATCTATTAATTGTGCGCCATCTGGCGGTGATATCAGAATGGTGTTGAATGCAATATCACCTCAGCATTAGCTGCCAATTCAGGAACAGTAACGACAGCCATCTTTGATTCCAGTTGAATTCTGGGAGGGGAACTGAGTAAGGGACCAATCAGAGTCACATCCGTCAGCTCAACGCTTAAGTTAAAGCCCAGCACAAAGAACACCTGTGGTGGACACATGCAAAATATCAATACGGACCTTCATAAGGTTGACAAGTTTTACAAAATCCCATATTTAATTCAAAAGATAATAAATCACACACCTGGCTACTAAATGGCAGTCTAACGCTGACCTCACGTTCTCCGTCCTTCACCATTATGTTCCCAGTGATTGTGTCCTCTGTAAAACTCTGCCCAGGGGTGGTAAAACTGACTCTGTATCCCACACTGGCATTGCCAAACGCTCCTGCCAGCCTGTTCACACTGATAATGAGGTGTCTACTTCGGTCCGCCACATTAACAACCACTGACTGGTTTTCAGAATAAAGGACAAACACCCCATGGGGTTCGTCATTGGCCCGGACCTTCAAACGGGTACTGCTGCGGTTTGTATCCAGCTCTGCGCCGCCCTCCACAGAGATTAGACGGAGGATGTACATCTCCTCCAACTCAGGCAAAGAGTCGGGGAGCAGGGTGAGGACTATCTCTGCCACATGCTGTCCTGCCAGGATGGTGACAGAACCCTGCAGGGCAGAAAAGTCTCCTGATGTGTCTGCATCACTGACGATTTCCCAGAAAACCTGGGGGGAAAAAACAAAACAAAACAAAACAAAACAATTATTGGGCTTGAAATCAATTTATGAACATTTAGATAGAACATTACATAAACTTTAATTACATAAAAAATACAAAAAAATATACATACTACAACTACTGCTGCAAAGTTTGGGGTTGGTAAGATTTTTTTAATGGTTTTGAAAGTCACTTATTCTCACCAAAGCTGCTTTAATTTGTTTGAAAATACAGTAAAACAGTAATATTGCGAAATATTACGATTTAAAATAGCTTTTTTTGTTTGTTTGTTTTTTAAATCTATTTAAAATCGGTTAAAGGTGTAGTTCACTTGCGATCCCAGCCGAGGAAGAAGGGTCTTATCTAGCGAAACGATCGGTCATTTTGTAAAAAAAAATAAAAATGTATATACTTTTTAACCAGGGACCCTTCCCTGGTGGTCTAATGGTTAGGATTCAGCGCTCTCACCGCCGCGGCCCGGGTTCGACTCCCGGTCAGGGAATGCTCTTTAGGGGGAAGTCGTGGCCTAATGGTTAGAGGAGCACTAATTCCTAGTATGGGTAACCATACTTGGCCACACATCACACTCACACTTTAACCTCAAACGCTCGTCTTCTGTAGCTCTGCAAAGTGCATGTGTACTCTGTGCAGTCCCATTCGAAACAGTTAGGGTATCTCATTTTCTCCTCCAGTCCTCCTCTAGGACGATTCTGAAGTTGGAGGAGAACAGAGTTCACGCAGAGCTAGACAAGACGAGCGTTTGAGGTTAAAAAGTATATAAATTGTAATTTTTTTTTTTTTTTAGAAAATGACCGATCGTTTTGCTAGATAAGACCCTTCTTCCTCGGCTGGGATCGTTTAGAGCCGTTTGAAGTTGCATTTAAACTGCATCTTGGAAGTTCAAACTCGCGGGCCCCATAGAAGTCCACTGAAAATTGCTGAAATGTTTTCCTCAAAAAACATAATTTCTTTACGACTGAAGAAAGAAAGACATGGACATCTTGGATGACAAGGGGGTGAGTACATTATCTGTACATTTTTGTTCTGGAAGTGAACTACTCCTTTAAGAGAAAAAAAAAACAATTCTTACGGACCAACTAACCCCAAACTTTTGAAAAGAATACTGAATATTGAATTAGTGTTTGTTTTCCTACCGTGATGTTGCCCATGACGCCCTCTCTGCGTGTGATAAGGAGTGATATTTTGAGCGGCCCTTCTCTGTCAGAAGGCTCACTGTAAATGCGCTCTATCAGGTCCTGTTCTGTGAACTGTACTATGCCATTGGGGTCTCCAAACTTCTCAATCTAGAGAACACACACATTGTACACCATTGCTACAATGATACAATACTGTATTTAACGTTTGATTCTCTGTTTTCTAGGTTATCACTTTTCCGTACTGAACAGGCGTACCGTGAGTGTGACAGATCCGGCTCTGGGATCAACACCCATCTCTCCGGAGAGGATACGGAGCATGACAATGAATTTCTCTGTGACCTCCACCTCACCGTGAGGCATGATCTTCAGCTCAATGCTGCGCACACCCCCTTCCCCGTCTCTGAAACTGAACGTCCCATTCACTGGTTCACCAATGTCTGTGTTTGCTGATGGTAAAACCTCGTTTGAGTTTGGACCTAGAATCTGCCATATTACCTGAGGGAGACAGCAGAGGAAGAGGAAACAACATAAGCGAGCATACTGAAACCATGGTGATTGCTTTAAGATTGCACAGAAAGCACAAGAAGGACTTCCCCTAAAATGCCATCAAAAATCATGCCTATTACCAATTGTACAAAAATAAAAACAGTTCTGAGCCTTATCACTTATTTTCATTAAATTTATGACATTTAAAGCAGCTTTTAGAGGCATTATTTTAGAAGAATAAACATATAATAAAAATATAAATAAATGACTACTGCTTTGAAACCTGTTTTGAGAAAGAAAATACAAACCAAAATTTTACAACATGAAAAAAGGGGAAACCCAAAATAGAAAATAAAAATGGATTCTTCATTATTTTGGTATTATTTCCCTGACAAAATTATCAACATTATCACTGTTAAATCAACTCTTGAAAAATGACTCCTTTTGTTTGTGAATGTTTCCACATTAAAATCTACATTAAAGAAACATGAAGGTCTGTACTAAAGCATGTATTCACCTCACAGACCACATTCTGATCTATCAAAATATTCTACAATCCTCATTTACCACAGTATTAATTACATACAAATCAATGGAATCATCCAGTTTAGGGTCTGTCTGTCCTCCAAGTGCTTCCCCACTTGTAAAAAATAAATAAATAAATAAATAAAATTTAAAAATTAAAAAAAAAAATATATATATAATTTATGGATCTGGAAGTGTGAGGTCATAGTGTAGATGGGGCTCACCGTGGCATCTCCCAGCAGCCCGTCCGCTCTCTCTACAAACAGGGTCAGTCTGAGGGCACTGTTGGGGTTTGGGATGGTGATGGCGCTTTGATTGATGAATCGTACAACACCATTTGGCGAGTCACTCTTGGCAATTGTAATTCGTGCAATTAGCTGAGCTCCAAGTATGGCACCTCCTGTGGCACCGGTGAGTTGCATCTCAAATATCTCGTTAAACTCACTGGGTGGAAAACAAAAAAAATCATTAAATGAATAGTTCGCAAAACTACCACATATCAACAATATAATATTCAACCATTCATCCAATATCAAATGAGAGCATATATAGTAAGTTTATTAACCCCATCCTTACCTCTCTGTGTCATCCACTATGGAAACATTGATATAGCTGAGGGTTTGGCCATGCTGAAAGGTGATGGAGCCATTGAGCAGGATGTAATCTGAATCGGGTTGAGCAGTCAAACCTTTGGAGATAAACTCTGCTGTGACCTGCCTATAGGATCCAACACGCCTCAGTACAGGGATGGACAGAATTCCTACATCCTCCTCAACTGAGACATAAAAACAATTGGAGAGACATATACACATATATGTATGCATCATGCACTTTTACATGACAGTGTTATTTTATTTATATACTAGTAAAATATTTTGAATATTTTATAATATTTTCAAGTTTCCTTTTTTAATTTTAAAGGGGACATCGGATGCCCATTTTCCACAAGTTGGTATGATTCTTTAGGGTCTTCATGAAATGTCTGTAACGTACTTTGTTAAAATTCCTCAATGGTTGTGTAAAGCAACACCCTTTTTACCTGTCAAAAACAGCTCTGTTCACAGCGACTCGTTTCGGTGCATGTCTCTTTAAATTATAATGAGTTACTGCTCACCCCAACCCTTTCTTCAGTGGGGCGTGTCGACACAAGACACGTAAATTGCTGCATTGGACTCCGTATATGGCTCAGAGGTGGTCTTATTCAAATAGCTAGTTATCTACATAGAAACTGGCTGAAAATTGAAACAGCTCACTAGATGACAACGTTTCAGACTCAGACAACCTATAACAAACCGGCTGCGTAATTTCTTTTCAGATTTTCTGAGCTGGCAGACACAGCAGAAACCTAATAAAATGCAAAAAAAAAAAAAAAAAAAAAAAACTAAAAAGTGAAACTTTCATCTGATGTCCCCTTTAAATTTTGTAACTTTTTGCACATTTTTGTAATTTAAAAAAATATTTATATTTCTTTTTTTTATTTTTCTATTTAAGTTTCTATTAACTTTTCATTTCTATTTATTAAAATTTTCGTTTTAGTGTAATTCTTTAGATGTTCAAATAATTTCTACTTTTTAAATATGAATATGCAGAGAACTATTAAAGTAAACTCTCAAAATGAATGTCTGTTTTTCACACTGATAATGTTGTGATGTCTAAATTTACTTGTAACATTTAAAACTAATAATTTTATTAAAACTAAAATATACAAAAAATTCTAATATTTTAACAAATTAAATTATTCTTTAAAATTGGCCATTTTATCATCCATGAAATGAAATAATTATTGGCCAGGAGTTTACCTGTAATGTTTTAGGTAAAGACACTTTCTCTTCATTTAAAAAAAAGAAAAAATCACAAAAGATTTGAGAAAAAAGAAGGAATGCATAAAAGTACCAGCGATGTTGACACATTTGGGGTCAAACTCCAGGATGCCGTCAGCATTGTCATTTTTCTGGATAATCACCGTGACAGAGGACAGATTGCCAATAGCTGGAGGCTGGTCAATCTGTAGGTCGTACTCTCTCACTGTAAAATCCATTGAACTGAAAACAAGAGGAAAGAAATACATTTGCAGCGTACATAAAAAGTAGGTAGCTAATGCCTTTCCAAGCTACCGCATGACCTCTCAGTGCAGGCTGAACTCTACCTGACATTCAGAAGCTCTACTAGCGTAATGTTGAGGAAAAACTCTTCTGGTCCTTCTGGAAGATCATCATCGAGTATAGTCAGCGTAATGACCCTTGAGCTCTCCCCAGGCCTGAAGAGCAGCTGACCAGAGGACTGTCCAAAATCCTGTCCACTGACTGCAGTTCTGCCTTCTGTGTGGTAACTGACCCACACGCTGCCAAACAGACCCATGGAGCGAACAATGGTCACGTTTACCTGGTAAGAGACAAGACAATGTTAAGAGATTTAACTACCTTTAAGTATGCGTTCTCAGATATCATCATTCCCTAAAATCTTCTACAGTTGATTCAAGGAAAACTGTAATGGATCAAAGCTAAATTTGCATACACAGAACTTACCCTTTGTCCATTTTTTAATTCAAGAAAACTTTCCAGTGTTTTTTGTCATTGGATCAATGGTTGCTAGGCTATTACTTTATGAAAGTTTTAAAAAGTTTCAATGACTTTCCCAATCGAGGGGAACAGGCAGTAACACATAGTCCTCTGGTTATGGTTTGTGTCTCATCAGTGGTAATGTCATGCAAGGGGTCTCACAGCTCTGTCCTCCTCAGTGGCACGCAGAGAGGCTTGGGAGAAGGAGAAGAGCCCATGGGGAAGGTCACTGGCAGCCATAGTGATGGTGGCAAGTTGTCTGTCAGGGTTGATCGCTGAGCCCAGGGTTAGAGAGCTCAATCTTAGCTGATATACACTTCTTTCTTCTGGAATCTCATCATCTAGTGCCTGCAGAAACAGGGAGAGGGAATTAATTTTACTCTGAGTTTTAAGACTCTAAGATGGTTTTATTTTTTTACAGTTTATATGCGAAAATGTTTCTTGAGCACCAAATCATCATATGTGACCCTGGACCACAAAACCAGTCTTAAGTCGCTTGGGTAAATTTTTAGCAATAGCCAAAAAAACATTGTATGGTTCAAAATTATAAATTATTCTTTTATGCCAAAAATCATTAGGATATTAAGTAAAGATCATGTTCCATGAAGATATTTTGTAAATTTCCTATCGTTAGTATATCAAAACTTCATTTCTGATTAGTAATATGCATTGCTAAGAACTTCATTTGGACAATTTTAAAGGCAATTTTCTCAGTATTTTGATTTTTTTTGCACCCTCAGATTCCAGATTTTCTGTGTTATCCTATCCTAACAAAACATACATCAATGGAAAGCTTATTTATTCAGCTTTCAGATTATGTATAAATCTCAATTTCAAAAAATTGTGACACTGAAGACTGGAGTAATGGCTGCTGGTGAAAATTCAGCTTTTTCATCACAGGAATAAATGACATTTTAACATTTTAAAGTCTAAAACAAATCTATAAATTAGAGTGAACATTACTGTTTTTACTGTATTTCTGATCAAATAAATGCAGCATTTGTGAGCATAAGAGACTTTCATAAACATTAAAAAAATCTAACCGACCCCCAACATTCGAACCACCAAGTGTATTACTCAGCAGTTTTACCTTCAGCTGAATTATTGCCGCAGACTGGTGGTCTCTCATGACAACTTTGCCAGAGGTCTCCTCAAACTCTGTATCTGCAGCTGTGGTGATGTTCCAGAAGATCTCGATCGCACCAAAGATGCCTGGACCTCTTACAAGACTGCAATTGGTAGGACACAGTCGATCTTCAGATTGGAGGAATGTTTGGGAAATCTGCTTTGATAATTTAGTTTGCAAATTCTGTTTGGTGATGCCAATGGTGCAGAAATTAAAGATCCAGTAACCTCTGTTCGGTTGGAGAAGGTGAGGAGTTTACCTGACCAAAGCTGTTCCATTGTAATTGTCTCTTGGCTCGCCAATCAGAACGTTCCTGCTGGAATCAGCTATTCCTACAGTTCCCAGGGCACCCATGTCAGCTTGAATAACAACCGTAGCAACACCTGAAAGAATGAAAATCATGATACATGATACAAGTACATGATATAAAAAGATCAGATTGGCCACTATCTGTCAAAAATGTAGACAGACACGTTATATATATTTAAATATCCTAACCTATGAGAAAGAGAAACAATTAAAGTTCAGAAGAGAAAAACAAAAAAGACAAGAAACAACAACTGTTTCCCAGATGTTATCAATGGTGATAATATGCTGACAAACCTCTAACTGGATCAATGACAGGCTCATTCTTTGGAGAGAGCAGCTGGATGGTGAATCTCTCCTCTCCCTCCAGGACAGCATCAGCCAAAGCCTGAATCACCAGAGTTTTCTTTGACTCAGTCTACAAGCGATAAAACAATTTAACAACTGAGTATCTCCACAGTGGCACAGGTAAAAGTTAATCAAATCATATTCATATTTACCACCCATACCTACCCCATTAAAAATGAGAGTTCCATTATGAGGGCTTAGGTCTTCTCTGCCCTCTTCCTGCAGAAGCCAGATCAAATGCACCACTCCTTCACCTCCTGAGCTACGCACTACGGTCATTGTAGCTATAGAAGCTGGGTCATTTAGGAACTGAGGCTCAGACACAGAGACCTGAGAAAAGATCAAACATGTTACTAAGGTTAATCATCAGTCAACCTGATTATGGCTTTTATAAAGCAACCACAAATGTATCTGAACATTAATAGCAAACTATGAATTCAATAAAGACAACAGAGCAATTAAACCAAGTAAACACAAGGTTACATCTTACCAAATGAAGTATAACAAATACAAAAATGAGGTCATAAAGAAGTTCAAACAAAAAGTTGCTTTAGAGTTACTACAGAAATACCTCAAAGATCCAGAGTGGACCACTCACAAAGCATATAAAAGTAAGGTTATGCAACTATCACAACTGAGACAATTAAACACATAGGCAAGACTGTAAAATGCTAATATTCATAGATATTATTAGTAAATGTACCATTGGCTCCTCAAACCCAAACCGACCAAAAGGTGAATCATTGGCCAGGATGATGATTACCACAGATGTCTCGTCCCCCAGCCTGGCACCTCCGATGACTTGAACCAGTTTCACCATAAACGTCTCTGTCGACTCCACAATTGTGTCATCAATAATGGTGATCTCAATATAAGCCACTGCCTGTAAAAGAATAACAGCTCGTTACTTAAAAGTAGCATGTTGAATAAATAAATAAAATAAAAATACTTCTAATTGTAATCTGTACCTGTCCATCTTGAAAGGTTAGGCTTCCAGAGGAAGGACTAAAGTCCTCAGCGCTGGCTGTGACTGTTTGAGCCTCCCAGTAAAGCACCAGTCTGCCAGATCTACCGGCCATTCGCATGACGGCCAGGTGAAGGACGTTTCCAGGTGATGGTACCTCAAATGCCAGCACTGCCCCAGAAACATCCTAAAAGACAAGGAATTGTAGAAGTGTGTTTGTTCTTCATTAACAATAAAGACAAAATAACAAATAAATAATAAATCATAATATGGTAAATGTATAAAAAGCCAATAATAAACATATAACAATAAAATAATTGTAAACCAACCTTTGAGACGTTGAAACTGAGGATTCCTCTTGGATCATCATTCTCTTGGATGGTGACCTCAGCTATCTCCAGACCAGGTCTCCTCACACTGGGCTGAGCTGCTCCTGTGTCTCCACCCAACAGTTCTACTTTAGTGATGTTTACCAGGAATGTCTCAGCCAGTTCAGGAATAGCATCCTAAGAGCAAGCACACATGTACCACTGTATACTATCCAGGGATTAAGAAAGTTTCATCCTAACCTATTCTATCCTACGCATGCATAGCACATACTGCATTAGTTAAAACCCTATAGACACCCCTTGTATCTCAATATAAGGAATAATATCTCCAGTAGATTCTAAACATCATCTAAAATAGCTTCTGCACAATTCATTTCTAAGAACATGCTGATTTATGTCAGTAGTCTGTATCATAAACTATCAGCCCAAACAAATTCAACATGTGGTTTTTGAGGCTGGACAATATGCAAAAATATCTAACGACCACTGCAATTTGCAAGGCATGAGCTATTCCAGGAGCAAACTGAAAAAATGTGGGGTTTCTGTGGCGGTGATAGAAACTGGCTGTTGGCTTTTGTTGTAGGAAGTCAATCTGTCTCCTCATAAGCTTCAGCACAGTGTGTCCTCCGACTGAGTGACCTGAGACTAACTGGGAAGTTAAGGGGAAATGAGCATGATGACTGATTTTGAAAGATTCGTAAAAGCATCAAGGCTGCATTTATTTAATAAAAAAATACAGTAAAAACTAATATTGTGAAATATTACTACAATTTAAAATAACCATTTTGTGTTGTAATTTATTTTAAAATGTAATTTATTCCTGTGATGGCACAGATGAATTTTTAGCAGCCATTACTTTAGTGTTACAATATACTTCAGAAAGTCATTGTAACATGCTGATTTGGTGCTCAAATAAATATTTAGCTACAAATGTAAGTACTCAGTAAATTATGTAATCAGGGTTTAAACCTACAAATTTAAATTACCAGCACACACTTTCAACCGCTACACCACATGTGTGACTTCTGAAGGTCTTTTTAATTATATGTCATCCCATTGAAGTAGTGAGATTAGCTGGGATGTGGTACTCACCGGCAGGATAGTAACAGATACCAAAACAACAGTAGCATTCTCATTCATGACGACTGTGGCCTCTTTGGATACACAGTCAGTTCCCTCACTAGCCTGATTAACAGGTGGCAGGTGGAGGGCCGCTTTGGTGGTGTAGTAAACTAATACATCCCTTGATGCTCCTTGATCTCTCACAATACTTAGTGTGATATTGCTTGGGCTCTCTGAAGTGAAAGGAATAAAAAAATGTAAATAATTACACCAGTGTCTTTCAAGAGCAAATAGTTTCATATTGTAATGTATGGGGCAATTATGTAAAAAACAAACAAAAAAAAAACTTAATTCCTAGACTAATTTCAAAATTAAGTATATGACTAGAAAATATGTACATATATCTTTTCAGTGATTTGGATTACATGAAATATTGATATTTAGCGGCACACCACAGCAATGTATATTGGCTATCATAGCCACTCATATGCTGTTCATTATATTATTGTGCTAAGTTCAAATGAGACAAAGTTAAACACAAATGGATTACTCTGAGGTTCTGGTGTGATGAAGTACTGGGAATCGAGGTGCCAGCCAATGACTCCATAGGGTGAATCATTGGCTCTAATGGTGAGGTTTGCTTGGGCACGCTGAGGGTCGATCATTGCTCCTCTTGATGGATCAATTATCCCAATCGTTGTGACCTTGGTCAGGACAATGGTGACTTTTTCTGCTAACTCAGGAAGGTCATCAGCTAATACATTTAGTGAGATGGTAGCAACAGCCTGGCTCTCAGAAAACGTCACCTACATGGATACAGATGGAGAGGTCTGTAATTCATAGTGCTTTGTGGTTATACTGGATGTTGACATTTTGTTGTCCCAATTGGGAGGTTTATATAATAATACACTCTAAAAAATGCTGAGTTGTTTCAACCCAACTTTGGGTCAAATATGGACTAACCCAACTTTTGGGTTAAAAATTTTATTGAAAAATGTAACCCAATGGTTGGGTTATTCCATATTTGACCCAAAGTTGGGTTGAAACAACCCAGCATTTTTTAGAGTGTATGTTTGAATAACAGGTTTTTAAATAGTACATTGTTTTTGAAAATAGTTGCTTGCACATTTGACTTACAAATGTAACTGCTACAAAAAAGGCAGCTTATAGTTAGAGTTGTGATTTTGGACTACAGTGACAGTCTGAAATTCAAAATGTACTATTTAAAATATGCAGTTTAGTCAAATATTATTACTAAAACAACTTAAAACAGAAAACAGCAGTTCTCACCACTCCTGAAGTGGGAAAAATGTCATCCAGACTACCATAGGCGCTCCAGTGTACAGTTAGTCTGCCAAACCTGCCTTTCGTCCTCTCAATGCTCAGAGAGACAGAGTTATCATCCTCCAGCTCATCCACCTCCCGCATTAAAGAGTTCTGTATACAAATATATTTGTATATTATCAACTGTGCACCAACATCTTCAATAAGTAAAATGTTCTTTTTGGTCTTTTTAAATGTGAAATTGACAGTACTTTACATTTACACTATTAAAGCTGAGTGACATTGGATGTTGTGAGTTGTATACAGTAATTCAGATAATATCATCTGTGAAGCACACAATATATTCTGATCTTTATACCTGTGCAAAACCTATAATCCCATAAGCATCATCATTAGCTGGAATGAACAATGTCACTTGACCACGGAAGCCAATTTCTGCCCCTCCTTTGGGGTTCTTGAGGCTGACACGAAAATGTTCTTCCTCCTCCGGAACATCATCATTAATTACATTCACTGCTATTTCTAGCTCACGGACACCAGGCTGGAAAAACAGCTCTCCTGAACTGAAGATAAAAGATGAAAATATCAATGAATATCAAAAAGAGTGTATTAGGCTTCTAGAAAAGGTATATCAAAAATAAATAAATAAAAAATCATTTAAACACATACTTGGGGATGAAGTCAGACTGGTTGGACACTGAGGTCAGATCATATACAACAGAGCTTGACTCTCCAGTGGCTACGATGAGACTCTTGGTAGAATTGAGAGAAGAAACAGGAAGATACAGGAATTCTTGTGCAGATGGAGACTTTAACACTTCAGCAAACCGCCTCAGATCTAACCTCCATGAGTACAGGGCTGAACCATTTAGACCCGCAAGCAACAGGTGAGCTAGGACACAAAGAAACTGGTCAATCTAATTTCTCAAAACAGATGGTCTTGCTGTGTATGATAATGTAAATTACATGAAGCCACCACACTGGATTTGCTTGCAAGGCAAACAAATAATTAAATATATTCAAGTGAGACAAGACCAATCAAAATGTATTATGCAAATATACTACTCTTTAAAATTTTGAGGTTGGTTTAATGTTTTTGAAAATTAAAACTCCTTCAGGAATCATTGTAATATGCTGATTTAGAGCTCAAAAAACAAACACAATGATTGTGCTGCTCAATATTTTTGTGGAAACTGTGATACTTTTTTTTCAGGATTCATAAAGAAAGTTCAAAAGAACAGCAGAACAGAAAAGAACAGAACAGAAACACTTTTTTAATGTATCAGTGTAAAAGTCAATGTAAAAGTATTTACTATTACTTTTGATTTAATGCATCCTTGAGGAATAAAAGTATTAATATTCTTTAGTGAAAAATAAAAAATTAAACAGTACTTTTGAACGGTTGTGTACATGCAACAAAGAAGAGTCTGTATGTTAGCGTTTTAGTCTGAAATAGTTGCATAAGTTCAATACATAGGGTTAAGTGTTTAGACCAAAGCCCTAACCGGACCCCAACCATGTTTGAGGAATATCAGTACAATTCTACCTTGCAAGCACTATTATTATTACATGTAAATTAAAATACCAATAAACTAAGGCATATAATTTTGGTACATATAAAATATGGGGAAAAATATGCTTAATAGTGGAAACACACTAAATGTGCTATTATTTATACAGACTGCACTATATTGTCTGGCAACTCACATATTCCAGAAGGAGGGGTAAAGGGGTGGACTGAAAAGAGGCCGGGAAATGGGATGGACTGTGTCTGCTGGAAGAAGTTTTGCTGAGAACCCCACATAAACACTTCACATGTTGAGCTTGGACCTTTTCATGGGGAATAATAAAGACGTTAGAGAAACCAATGATCATTTTCAAGATCACACAATAAAGTGTCAGAACATCTTCAAATTGAAAACGCTCTTGAGCTGCAACAGTACCACAGACTGCATATGATCGTTACCTTCAGTGACGATGAGGAGGAACGTATCTCCTCCCATCTGAAATGATTCCACTTGCTTGACTCGAGCACTGACTGCTAAGGTTTGAGGGTTTTGGAATTGCCCAATACTCCACTGGTATATGAGACACACCGATGATGATATGTTCCTGCACACAGCCAGGTGCTGTAGGTTGCTGCTGCCTCGTCTGAAGGGTACGGCTGTGGTAATGTCTTGTAACTCCAGACTTTGATGAAGGGAGAATGAGCCTCCAGCCCACACAAAAATCTTAAGACAGAGACGAATGATCTCAATAAAGTATTTCTGACTATTGCTACCTGTATGTAAATTCTTCAATTTAGAACTCCAAGTTTGCATTTTACATGTCAGATTGAGTTTACCTTACTAGAAGTTATCAGATATTGCTGAAGCTCAGTGGAGAAGTGTTTGACATTGAAACTGTCCACAGTAAGAGTCTGCTCCTACAAAAGGGGGCAACATTGAACAATACACAAAAACACCACCATTAGAAATCTGACAATAGTGAGATGAATGACAAGTCTATCACAGGATAAGCACAAATGCAGCTTTTGTTGATGACAGCTAATTAAAAGATAAACTGGCAGCATACTCACTTGAGTGAGGTTGAGGTCTGCCTGAAGACGAAATAAGCTGATTGTTGCAGTTAATGACATGGTGCTGTGTGCATGGGAAACTGCCACATAGCTGGAGCCATTTACTGTAAAACCCACACAAGAGCTGGGATTCTGGATGCTGATAAACTATGAGAAACAGAGTGAAAGAGAGAGAAAAGGAATAAAGTGGTAAAAGCGAAGAAGAAAAAAATCAGAAATAAATAAAAATAAATACTTAGTGTCTTGCATTGACAAGACATGACAAATAATTATAATCTTGAAAAAAAATAAATAATTACAAGTAAAAGATGAGTTAAAAATCAATCTATATTTGCCTGAACTTAAAGATATTGGTTCCACAGATTGCAAATGTGTTTTCTTAACATTAAATAAAACTGTAAATTTGAATCAAACACATTGTGCAGTTGAAACCAAACTGAGCTGAATACAAAAAGTAAGATTATGTGTAAAACATTATAGTGAATACAATTTTGTTGCATTAGCTGATATTGGTTAAAATTTTGAGTGCATTTTCTTCCACCAAAGCACCATTCATTGGGCGTGTTTTGTCCTTTTATGCCTTTATTATTAGATAGGACAGTGTAAATGAGACCGGAAACTACTGGGAGTTGAAAGGGGAACAGGACAGGCAAAGGACTTTGAGCAAAGGCTCAAACCCGAGTTGCCTGAGGCACAGCTGTGCCATATGACACTGCCCACAAGGCTATTGCTTCACATGCGTTGGGCTTTTAATTGAATTCAGGGCATACCTCCACAGGCACCAAGACACCTTGCCATTCGTAGAGCACAGCCTGGTTCTGAGCTGGACCTCTGAGCAGCCTCAAAACCAGAGCAGAGTCTTCACTGGGCACTGCACACCAGACTGACGCCAAGCTGTCCCTGATAGACTGATACACAGCCAACACTGGCTGCTCTCCTCCTACAAATAAATTAAACAACCTGTGGTTATACAGTTTTTGTTTACACCAAAATAATCTTACTGGTGCAATTTCTTACTCATGCCAAATGCTGTTCCTGACCAGGTCTCCCATTCCACACTGACGGCTGACTACAGCCCATTACTGCGAGATATAGTCAGGTACACCGTACCACTATGCTCCTCCAATGTCAAGGTGTCTAGAGTCCTAAAAAACACACAAATACAGTAGAATCAGGCATTGTGTGGTAACGAGCTTGACATCCGTTTAGAACAGACTGTGAATGTACCTGTTAAATAATGGTGATATTCTGAAGAGTCCCAGAGGAGCCTGATTTTGCAGTATGGTGATGAAAATCTGCAGCGAGTCTCCCAGACGAGCACCTCCAGTAGGGTTGGACAGAGTCACTGTGAATGTCTCATTCATCTCTGGCTCAGCATCCAGAACAGCCCAGATCTCCAAAGTCTAGAAAACAAAGATGATACTATTCAGTTTCCTCTTTGACAAACCACTGGTTCCTACATTTATTTTCTCAACTTTAACAGATCTGGTGCTGTAATACGAGTGTCATTATGCTTGGTTAACTATTTCATTAAATTCTCATTGGTCAGGAATAGCTTTTTATACTGTACCTTGAATCTGACTCCATCCTCAAGTACCACAAAGCCAGAGGAAGGTGTAAGATCATCAGTGTACAGGGATCCATTGGCATCAGTGATTGTGAACTGAACCGTTACTGTGCCAAACACGCCCTGAGGAGGGTCCCGTATGATGTAGAGGGTGCCCACACTCTCCCCAAATGATTCCATGGCCATCGTCATTGGCCAGAATAGTCACGGTAGCTACAGAGACACATTAGAGAAAAATTATACGGCATTGGTCATGGAAAATCATGAATGTTCAGTGTCTCCCAGCATACCAGACCTGTAGTGTTCTCTCCCAGCTGCAGCCCTGCCGATGGATTTGCAAGAATTAACTGAAATGTCTCATCCCCTTCAGGAATGGTATCATCTAAAATCTGGACATCGATAAACTTGTGCTGTTCTCCATCCACAAAATGGATCATCTGTGTAGGTATATACGGTCAATAATTATTAACAACAAATGCTGAATAATTAATGATATTTAAAACTAGAAAGAGCGTCTGTGACTCACTGATGGGGTGGCATTGAAATCCAGGTCCAACTGAGCCTCTAGATTCTGGACATAGAAGAACAGGGACACATTTCCATACATCCAGGCATCACGGTACACCACCAGAGTTAACGCACCAATTGTCTCATTTATCACATAGCTGAGGAAAAAATACATACATTACCGAAACCTTTTTACTAAACGTTAAAGTGAATGACACCATGGTTCATATAAGTTAAAAAGAAAGAAAGAAAGGTAGCTCATACTCTGTGTTTTGCCAGCCAATGATCCCTTGGATACCATCATTAGCATTAATGCTGATCTCTGCTACAAGGCCTTCAGTATCTGGAAAGACATGAATATATCAGAATGAACGAATGAATGAATTAATAAAATAGTTTAAGGGGTAGGATTATGGGCAATGGCAGCATGCTTTGGGTTTCAGGAAATGCACAAATAAAAACAAGGTCATTTGCCACATTATTAATCATCCACTATTACTACACCTATAGTCATCTACTAATAATAAAAAAAGCACTAATAGTCATCTACCAATAGTCTTCACAAATCACTGATTATAAGCAAGGAGTGTGGGCTGTCTTTTGGAATGATAGAGCTCAGACCGCTGTGAGCTGTCAATTATATTGGCAGTTATCACCACACCTTACAAACACAAATTCTAATTATAGAAATTCCACTGACAATATGACAATAAGCTCAAAAGCACTAGAGCATATCAAGCACAGGTGTGGGTAGGTACTGTTACCTTTCAATGTATAGTAAATCTCTAGGAAAGGATGTAAAAAGATTCAAGTTCAAGAAGAAAGTATAATTGAAAGAAGAACCTAAAACCTAATTAAATGTGACTCATTTAACACAGCAAAGTGAATAATTACATAATACAGAATACCATTTAATAGTTTCAATCTGCTTAATTGTCTAATCATCTTACTTAATTCAGGGACAGTTGCGAGGGTGGTTATGAGGACAGCTGATGTTATATTGACTAAGAAAAACTCTTGCAACTCAGGGATGTCATCCTGTTAATGACAAAAAAAAATGTTTCTTGATTAATTCAATTAAGGTTAATACAATATGCGTTAGATTTAATTTAGCATCTTAAATCAAAATCAAAATGAAAACTGTTAGAATGTAGTCAATGTTAGATCAGCAGCATCATACATCTATGATGGTGATGGGGATGGACACAGATGTCTGTCCATCCTGCATGATCACAGAACTGGAGACGTGTCTGAAGTCATGGCCTGGCTGGGCTAGAGCAGCCTCAGTCTGTCTGAGGTCCTGCAAAGAGCCCTGCACAGTCTCGTAGCTTATATTCACAGCACCTGTGGAGGAAAGTAGCAATACTTACATCCCCATACTCCAGGACAACACTTTGTTTGATAGATTTTACAAGCATAGCTAACCTGATGCACCAAACTCTCGGTTTATGTAAATCCTGATGGTAGTGTCTTTCTCATCTGTGGTCAGTTTTAAGGATGAGGGGGCGATGCTGAGCAAACCAAACGGCTCGTCACTCACTTCCACGCTCACCACTGCTTCACGACCCTGAGCACTCAGGGCTGCCATGCCTGTCTGGGTAACTCCTGAGAGAATTATATATTATACATGATTATTATTTAAAAATACATCAATAAACTAGAATAAATAATAGATTAATAGATTGTGTATAGAATAAGCACAAATACAGTGTGAAGTGAAATGTGAGTGCAAGCTAAGATCAAGCTACAGACACTGAAATGCAGATTGTGAGTGATTAACAAGTTAACAAGACAATAAGATAGCAGCTAATGTTAACACTGTAAAAAGTCTCACTTTTAATCTGAAACTGTGACTTGTTTTCTAATAAAATATGTAAACATCCTTCAGACAGGATAATTTACCTGAGAAGCGAAAGTGTGAAATATTTAGAAAAATGCTGCATTCATAAATGCGAATAGTAAATTTTAGCGGCCTTGCTAAACATGGTAACATGAGATGAACTTGCAGTATACAGTACTTTTTGAGTAACTCAATCCTGTGTGTGTTTCTGATAAATACCTTTGGTTTGTATATTTGATAGGATAACTCTGTACTCCTCTCTTTCTTCTGGCGTGGTATCCTCAAGTAGCCTCAAGACTATAGTATTATTTAACGTTCCCTGAAACAGAAGATGAGGCAGAATATTGATCACTCATTGTCCTTTGAATTCATAGTTGACATAGGTTTAAAAGTTTAAAAGAAATGCTCAAATGATCTGGTAAAGCTACATTTTTTATTCATTACCTCAGAGAAAAATAGAGTTCCCGAGGTGTCTGTAAAAGTCATTGAGACTCGAGGGCCTTCAATCCTCCATTCCACTGTGACATTTCCAATAGCAGGAGCTGTTCTCTCCACCAGCAGAGACAAACTCTCACCTTTTGAAATCAATGAACATCTAAACTTAGATTTTAACCATTTTCTGGTATAATGAGACGTGGATTTTGCATTGGGTTTATTGGGTTCAATAAAACTTCAACAAACTTTACTCCAAGTAATACAACCCTTGATTGATTTAGAAGCTAGTATTAATGAGATGTGTATAAGAGTTCCTTTTCCTTGCTGACTAGATTAACTAGTACTCTAGCAAAGACTGGATATACAGGGATAGAATGCATGTGTCCTGTCATGCATGCATGATGACAAGAACCATCTTCCCCAATGTAACAGCTGTTGCAGATCCCTCTTCTCTCATCACATCTTGGTACTATGTTACTAGTTACTATGATATGGAGCACAAATTGATGCCTAATTATCCATTTAAAACATGTTCTAAATGCCTCCCCAATCATGTTCATCTTAAAACCACCTCTGTCTGTTGGGAAATTACAGACTTTTGGTCAAGCCTTGTCTGGTTATTTATAGCAAACTAACACGATTGAAGAGCTGTTCACACCAAGGACAATAACTATAACCATAAAGTGTTGTTATAATAGTTGTTATAATTCTACGAGAATAGAAAAGTCCACACCACTGCTATAATTTTAACAACACAATATTGTTAAAATCATAATTATTTTCCTTTTATTAAATTATTTCTAAGTGATGATAAAAAACAGACGGCCAAACAGAATCCACCAACTTGAAAGAGCTTGAGCATTTAAAGCAGCATAAAGACGACAACTGCAGCATGCACTTACAATAAACAGAATGTTATCGTCCGTTGGTATGGACGTCATTCTTTTTTTTATCATTCTTGGTGTGACCAAGCCTTAAAGGGATAGTTCACCCAAAAATAAAAATTCTGTCATTAATTACTCACCCTCATGTCGTTTCAAACCCGTAAGACCTTTGTTCATCTTCGGAACACAAATTAAGATGTTTTTGATGGAATCTGAGAGCTGTCTGACCCTGCATAGACAGCAATGCAACTGAAATGTTCCTAAGTCCAGAAACGTAGCAAGGAGATCTGTAAAATAATCCATGTGACATCAGGGGTTCATCCGCAATTATACGAAGCTACGAGAATACTTTTTGTGCGCAAAAGAAAAAAAAAACGACTTTATTCAACAATTCGTCTCCTCCGCATCACCCTGGTGCCATTTTGGAGAATATCCGCTGGATGTAAACGTTCGTATGCTGTTCTGTGTCAGCTGCGTCACACGGATACGCTGTTTCGCTGTTACGCAGGGTCAGACAGCTCTCAGATTCCATCAAAAATATCTTAATTTGTGTTCCGAAGATGAACAAAGGTCTTACGGGTTTGAAACGACATGAGGGTGAGTAATTAATGACAGAATTTTCATTTTTGGGTGGACTAACCCTTTAAGTGTAAAAGTGGGGGGAAAAAAGAAAAACACAGACCCTCTCTGACGATGACGGATCGCAAGGCTGTGTGAAAGCCCACCACACCAGCTGCATTGTCATTGGCCAGGATGAGGATGGTGACTGTGTCCGAACTGGGAAGGATACGGCTGCCACCCTCAGTGCTCACTAACCCAATCTGTATAGTCTCATTATCTTCAGGTTCCATGTCATCTGTGATGACAAACTCAAGGGTCTTCTTTACATCACCTTAAAGGAACAGACAGAAGGTCATTCACCAACTGCAATACTGTTGAAATGAAGAAAGGTCTTCAGTTAAACTTTATCTGTTCTGCTTATCTGTCTATTATCTATCTATCTATCTATCTATCTATCTATCTATCTCTATAAAAAAGCAAAACGACACCATAATGTAACGTAAACCTAGTGGCGGAATATTATCTGCTAATTTCTCGAGATCTCATCAAACCCCTAGTACATAGTGTAAATTATTCTGCCAGAGTAAAGTATGAACATTTTAAAACAAGGTTTAAAAATATGTGAAAAGCCCAAAAGTCAAAAGCACATTTTGCTAAAGTAAATCTCCTGACTCCTGAAGTGTTGTCAGTACCATCAAAAGCACAAAGCAGACAAGACTTACCCTCTGCAAAGATAAGGGTCTCCCCCGTCCCATTGAAGTCAGCGTTGGGTGTGGCACTGCCACCAACATATTTCCACTCCACTGTAACCTGTCCCATACTGCCTCCCCTCCTCTCAATGACTAGCAGCACTGTTGTTTTTGGTTCCTCTCTCACTTCGAGATACTGTCCATCTTGAGTGGCATTGGGGTTAATGCTGTAGAGCAGAAATATTCCAAATGCATCTCTATTCATTGCTATAGTCACCAAAGCTGTGTCCGGTTGCTGTATGGTTGGCAAGTTCTTGGAAGCTACAGTCATGTTGACCAAGCTAACACTCAGGATTTTAATCATAAAACTCTCATCCATCTCTGCCAAAGAGTCAGTCAAGATGGGTACAGTGAGGTTAGTGACTCCCGATCTGTCCAGCATGGTTGTGGTCTGAGCCGTCATGGTTATGTAGTCGCTCCCAGCAACAGCCTGCGAGCTAAACAGCGAAGCGGCCGCTGTGGTGTTTTTTAAATAGGTGAAGGTTTGTGGTGAAGGACTCAGTTGTCTGGCTCCAGACATTACCCAGAAACAACTCGCTCTTGGGGTGTTGGTGATGCTGAAAGCTTGGCAAGCCCGCTCTCTAAGGCAGAAGGCTGCACAGAAATTTAGGACGTTTGTGACTGTGGTGATGTTGATGGGTCTGCGGAGGGCATTAGATGGTGCTCCAGCCGATGGAGAATCATAGTAAACCAGGAAATCTCGGCCTTCCCTGAGAGCATTGCTTACGATATCAACTTCAGAGGTGCTATAAATGATCTCCAGCATGCCAAAGTTACCACCACTGCAGTGAAAACACACACACAAAAAAGCAACATAATGTACCATTCCAAACAAAATTAAAGATATAGGAAAAAAAGGCACATTACCTCCTTCGAACTGTAATGTTAGCAATATAGATCCCTTCCAGTGGCTCCTGGATGCGGTACACTGCTTGCTCAAAGTACACAGTTCCGTGAGGGTTGTCATTGGCAGGAACAATGATATCGACTACTTTCTCAGTCCCAATGTTCCCACTATTGGTGGCACCAACAAGCTCAACCTTTATGACCTAAATTAAACAGAAACATTTAAGTAATACAGAGTTTTCATACATCCTTATAAAGATTAAAAACCCAAACTAACCTCTTCAATTTCAGGTACATCATCAGCCAAAACTTCAACTTTCAGTGTCTTTAAGGTTTCTCCAGGGGCAAACCTGACCTCACCAGACAAAGGTCGCAGATAACCAGTGGCAGGTCTCCCACTGACTGTGGCTCTCCATTCGACATCCACATCACCTAGAGTTCCAGCATTCCTCACTATGGGTAGGGACACCTCAAAAGCATTCACTGCTGGCTCCTCTATTGTGATGGGTGCAGACTGAAAAACTAACCATCAAATATACATCTCTTCAAAACACTGTCACCACATAAACAATATGTAAAACATTTAACATATGTCTCATTACTGAACGTCCATGAAAAGCTTGTCATTGATAAAAACTTACCAAAAGATCCATAGGGATCATCTGAGGGTAGGATGGTAATGATTGCCTGTGTAAGGTCCCCCAGGAGAGCGCCTCCAGTGGTCTGGTTGAGAAGCTCAATTCGGAAGGTCTCTTCCACTTCAGGCACCACATCATTGATGATGAGGATAGGGATGGGCTTGCTACTCTCTCCCTCCAGCAAAACCATATCAGAAGAGGCCACACTGTAGTCCTCACCTATATGTCATTTAGAAACATATGCTACGATTCAGAAATATATGATATA